CCTCTCCTGTGTCTTCAGATCACCCCAAGCTGGGTGGGCGGGGCAGCGGTGTTAGTTCCACAGAGGCTCAGAGAGGGGCAGAACCTGCCCAATGTCGCACAGGAAGCCAGTGGTTGAGCTGGGGTTCGATCCCGGGCCTCCAGACGCCCAGGACAGCCCCTTCTCCTGCTTACAGAGGAGCAGGGACCCACTCAGTGGATTGCATAGTCAACATGCATGAGCGTCTTCTCTCCAACACCCCTGACATAGTTTCTGGAGTCTGTGTGCTCTCAGGTGTCATGTCTCCTGCTGAGATACCCTTGATTCAGATGCCTGGTGTCATGGCCACTGGGCCTCACTGCTGACCTCCTCTTCTCTCCTAGGCTGTCTGTGACGATCGCCAGGAAGAACATGGTGGTCTCCTTTGGAGATGGGGTTACTTTTGTGGTTGTCTTGCATCAGGTGTGGAAGAAACAGCCCATCCACCATGACTTCCTGGGCTTCTATGTGGTGGACAGTCATCGGATGTCAGCACAGACACATGGGCTACTGGGTACGAAATGTTCAAGCCTCAGGTTTTTCAGGCCACGTGGTGGAGGGAAAAAGCCATGCGAAGGGCCAGCCTAGCCACCCTGGACCCAGGGCTCAACACCCCATCCAGCCTTTGCATCTACCTTGGAAGGCCAGTGGCCATGTCACATATGGTGGTGGCAGGGCTGACAGCGTGAATGTTTTTATTCCCAGGACAATTCTTCCACCCCTTTGACTTTAAAGTGTCTGACATCCACCCAGGCTCTGACCCCACAAAGCCAGATGCCACAGTGGTGGTGAAGAACCATCGGCTGACGGTTACCCGGTGAGGAGACTCTACTGACGTCCTCACCCTGCCCTGTCACAACACAGGAGGAAGGAGCTCTCTCTGCCCACGCACATCAGCCCAGCTGGCTCTTGTCGTCTGTGGGGCATCCTAGTTTCCCTCTGGGGTCCTGGCCCCCTCTAACTGGGAAAAGGTCAAATTTGACCCCCTAGAAGGAGTAACCACAAGGCCTCATTCTTGACCAGAGTCTGGACTCTTAGAATTGGCAACTTCACACCCCTTTTCAACCTTAGGTCCTTGGGCGCAGCAGCCATCTTGCCTACCCCGTGTATCACAGCATCTCTCTCCTTTCTCCCAGGGGCTCCCAGAAGGACTACAGGAAGGATGTCAGCGTTGGCACAAAAGTTGCCTGCTGGTTCGTCCACAACAATGGGCAAGGGCTGATTGACGGCGTCCACAGCGACTACATTGTCCCCAACCTGTTCTGAGTGGACATGCCAGCTCCTACTGAGGCGGCTGGCAGGGCTTGCCTGGCATCTGGAACAGAGGCACAGAGTGGGGCCTGATGGAGGGCTGTGACAGTAAAGGCCAAGGAGAAACCGGACGGCTACCAGTGTCTGCATGCTTCCATGAGCCCCTGCTCCAGGGGACAGGCAGTTCGAAGGAAGGGCTGGCTGCTAGGAAGGCAACTTCCCGGGCCTCTCCACCGATGCGGCTGAAAGACGCAGTTGGTTGGGGTGTTACTAGGGCTGGGGAGTTAACCATGATGGTTGGGGAAGGAAAAAATCAAGAATTGACTCGAGAGCAAAGAGGCTCTGAGAAGTCGGGAAGGACTGACTACATTTCAGAGTTCAGGAGGGTCAGAGGAAAAGTCAGGGGTCATGGCTCACAAGCTCTTACCAGGACCTTTAGGCCTGAAGCTCCTTCTATGACTCAGGAGCAAAGAGTGCTCCAGGGCAGACCCAGCCTGCAGCTAATTGTGCACGCCACCCACCCTTCCACTCTAATCATCTCGCCATCCATCTGCCTGCCCATCCCCCGCTCCCCCCAACAACCCATCTATTCAGCAGGTAAACCCAACATTCTGGGCTAGGATCTGGGAGCACATAGTTTAATAACCCAGGTCCTGCTTGCATGGGTGCCCAAGTTTCCCTTCAGCTGGGCTGGGGATCCCTGGGATCCTCCAATCACTTCTCATGGTGACCACCTGCTGCACCCTCACAGTAAGTCCTGGGTGGGGTGGGGGTCAGCCAGAGGTTCCTAGAGAAGGGGCTCTGAGGGCTCTCAGCCTGGACAACCCTCTCCCACCCGGACAACGGCAACTGCCCCTCCCCAGCCCTCCTGCTTCCAGAGACAGCTTTTTTGCAGTGCAGACCTGGTCATCATCCCCTGTCTGAAACCCTACAAATGACATCTCCCACCCAGGGTTCTTGGGACAAAGATAGAAGTCCTTCCTGCCGTCTTTCCCTCTCACTGTCTGCGTTCCAGGCACACAAACCGCTTCCAGTTCTGCAAACACAACCCCTCCTTCCCCAGATCCTTTGCCTCTGCTGTTCTCTCTGCCTGAGGGGCTGACGGCACGCTGGGCGGAAGGTACCTGGCTGAAGGAAGCATTGGGTGGCTTCGCTTGTGGCAGAGCGGGGGACACAGCAAGACCGGAGGAGGTTGCAGTCAGATTGGGAAGGGTCTCGAATGCCAGCGGGGTGGGGTGGAGTGGGGTCTGGCCATGGCTCACCAGGAAGTTCTACCTCCCACTCCAGGGGCCCCTCTGTCTGAGCCAGGACAGGGCTGCCCAGGGCCCACACTGGCTTGGGGGCCTGGAGAGGGCTGGAGGAGGGCAATCCAGGAGGGAACATCTGTCACCAGAAGAGCCCCAGAGGCGCTGTTACTGCTCTGGAGAGAGGGCCACATGAGACAGAGGCAGAGGTCCAGGCTGGGCTGGCAGAAAGGGCCCGGGCCTGGGATGGGACACCCTAAAGTGGGCAGTCCCAGGTCGGCTGAGGAGCCATGTAGCTTTAAACCAGTCACCTTGAGGTCAGTTTTCACATTTATGAAATGGGGAGAAGGATCCTGCCAGAGGGAGCGTGTGAAGAGACGTCGGCATGGCAGTTTCTGGTCCTCCTGAGGTGCCTCTCTTTGTCCTGCTGCTCCAGCTAGCAAGCAAACCCAGCGGGCTGGGAGAAAGGCAGCAGGATGGGCCCAGCCCAAATGTTGCCCCCTCCCCCAACACACAGTCAGGGAGGTCTGTCCTCTGGCCAGTCCCACCTCGTCCTGGCTGTGCCTGTCCCTGCCTACAGCCTCTGAAGGCTCCCTGGGCTTTCAGGAGAGAAGGCAAGCTCCATGGCGAGGTGTGCGCAACTGGTGCTGGCCTGGGGCTGCTTCCCCACCTCGCCAGCGTCCCTTCCACCTCACCCCGCGGCACCGCTTCCCTTGACCTTCCTGGACTCAGTGCAGTGTCCTGGCTCTGGCCCTGGTGTCCCTGCCCTCCTTTTCCACTGGGCTAACTTTTCTCTATTCTTCAAAACTCAACCCCAGTCCAATCGCAACCATGACACTACCAGGAAGCCTCCCCTGATATTCCTCAGGTTGGGCAAGATGCCTCCCTCTGGGCTCCTTGTGGCACCTGGTTGTCCTCTGGGTGGCAGCTGTGTCTGTCAGGTGCCCAATGTACCTGCGGCACTCGGCCCAGGGCCTGGACCAAGCAGGTGCTGGAAAGCATGCAGTGAACAAAACAGTGACATGCATGGACCTACTTCCAATTGTTCACAGAGAACTCACGCACTTCAGGTGCTGGCCGGGCCAGAAAGTCACCCAGGAACCCACTGTTGTGGCACAAATGCCACAGCCCAGCCCAGGTGGTGGCGTCTCGTTCTGCTATGTCAGGGCCAGCCCCACAGCAAGTCCAGCGGAGCCCCCGAAGCTGCTCCCTTGTCTCGCTGAGCTCTTGTCTGAGCCCCTCTGAGTGACCTTCACAAAGTGACTCTGTCTGAGACCCCTGCCTGCCACCCAGGCTTGATGGCGAGGCAGCAGTGCAGGAAAGAGGGTTCCTCAGTGTTGGGCAAACTTGCTGCTGAAGACCCCTCCCTCCCACCGGCCTCTCTTCCACCCTTCTAGAAAGACTTCCTCAGCAAACACCCTGTATAGCTCAAGAGCTGGGAAAAGAATGTTCTCCCTGATCTGGTTTGCTCCCTCTCAGCAAGCAAATGAACTCGTTTTCTGCTTTACCCTGGCTGCCAGGAAGCTCAGAGCAAAGCTGTTTTGCTGCTACAGCTTCCCCTACCCTGGTGTCTCTGATTTAACTCTCCTCCTGCTTGGCTCTTTTCTCTTATTTTCATTCTCATGTTTTTTGGTTTTATTCTCTTTATGCTTTTTATCTGTAAGCCAAAGACTTGTGTCATTTTTGAAGAAGTAGGTGAAATAATTATAAATGTTTTGAAAGTATGCTTTGCCTGTGCAAGAATTGGGTGGAATCTTTGGGGTGCCTAACCCTGGGGCACAAACAGGAGAGGAGACCCTCAACAGCCCAAGCTCCTGGGAACAGACCCTTGCTGCCCTGCTGGGACTGGGGCCTCATCTCTGTCTCCTCTGTCTTCCACTGCCAGCTTCTCTGCAAGGTGGTGAGAAGACAGGCCTGTTCCTGAGCACAGGTGTGAAAATCAAATTATGTCTGGCAAATCCCACTGCAAAAGGGCCCAAAAGTTTGCTGAGAATGACGAACTTCTACCCAGGTCCCTTTTCTTCTTTTGAATCAAAACTGGTTTTCATGGACCATGTCACCATAAAGCAGAGTGAGCACTGCTCCCAGGAGTGTCCTCCTGCCCTAGGCCCCCAGCAAGAGCAGTGTTTTGCCTGGGTGGTTTAAATCTCTCTAAATCTTAGCTTCCCTGCCTGAGAAATGAAGGGACCGGACTGAAAGCTCTCCATGGGCCTTACTGGCCACAGGCCTTTGAAGGGTTGATGGCGGATGATGCTAATGTTACACGCGCTACGTGTCCAGGACGTGATCCTGAGGCTCTGGGATTTGGCCAGATGGGACCAGAGATGCCCACTCCCTGGGTTCACACCACCTCTCTTTATTTTAATGAGCGCAAATACCTCTCCCCATGATGTTACAGGACCCACAGGTGGCCCTGTGGTCACAGGGTGGCAGCCACCTGCACCCAGCAGGCGGCACGGGGGGTGGGCATAACTCCGTACATCAGAACTACAGCTCCACAGACCAGCAGGAAATCTCCGTTCCTGGGGGCCCCTCTTGGTAGTCCAGCTTGAGCTCTCTGGGATGGACAGACAGACAGGTGGTCAGCATGTCTCAGGTTGGGTGGGAAGAGAGGGAGACAGCTAGGGATAGGAACGTGGAAGGTGGAGGGTCTGGGGGTCCCTTAGAGTTCCCTCCAGCACAGGCTGACAAGGCCTGGCCACCCAAGGGCACCCAGCTGTGTGTGGTCTCCAGGGGCCAGGGCTCTAGGAATTCAGGGGGAGTTTCCTACTGCTCCCAACTCACTCTAGTGATCTCTAGGCTGGTATGTTTTCTGTGGGTCTAAGTTGACCACCCTTTGCGGGGCCACTGAAAGCTGGGTCAGACTTGTCTAACCTGACACCTGACTGTCTAGTTCCCAGGCAGGGACAGAGGAGTGGGGGTCTCAGAGCCCGGCTCCCAGCCCCACCCCTGGCCGGGCTCAGTGGCCTGTTGTGCTGAGTCACCTGGTGGCAGAGTGGTCATGCCCCTGGACCTTCAGTGTTCGCTTGCTGTCACCTGCTGCTGCCAGCGGCTCCCAGAGCACGTCCTGGTAAAACTGGCCTGAGACACAAAGGGCGGGTCAGCGAGGAATAAAGACGGAAGGAGGCTGGGGGACATGCAGAGGTGATGGCATTGCCTGTTCCCAGGCAGAGGCGGTTTCTGATGACGTCCCGAGCCACGTACCAAGGGTCCCACTAACGTGGCTGGAGAAGCGGTCAGTGTCCCGCAGAAGGAGCCGGAGCCCCGCCCCAGGGCCGTCCCAGGACAGCAGGCCGATGGTCACTCTGTCAGGGCTGCTGAGCAGCAGAAGCCCCGCCTTGTCCATGGTCATCTTGAGACTGTGGGGAAACCTGCGTCCTGAGCAGGAAGGGAGGCAAGGAGGTGCCCGCAGGGGGCCTGGGCAGCAGCGTGGCAGTGGGCAGGGGCTGCCCTCCTGTCCTCAGGATCTCCTAGTGTGGCCTTTGGTGGAAGGTCCCTTCAATCTTCTGGGCTTCAGTTTCCTCAGTCAATTGGGACCAATGTTAACTTACTGATACCTGGTTATCTCAGCATTTTATATATATATATATATATATATATATATATATATATTGCCGTGCTGCACGGCATGCGGGATCTTAGTTCCCTGACCAAGGATCAAACCCATGCCCCCTGCAGTGGCAGTGCGGAGTCTTAACCACTGGACTGCCAGGGAAGTTCCCTATCCCAGGATTATTTATAACATGAGATAACGGTTCCTCTCCCTCTGGTTTTCTTAGATTTGGTTTCTCATGAATTATATGACTTAGGGGTTCAAGGATACATTTCCTCTGTCCCTTTTACTTTTATGGCTAGTGCCACTTTCTTCTGATGATCAGCGTTTAATCATGTGTTTTAAGGTCTAGAAGGGCAAGTCCTTCTCGAATGCCTTCCTTTTTTACTTAAAATAATCTTTGAAATTATTACCACTTTTGTTTTCTTAGGAACGTTAGATTCCTTTACGCATGTTGAATAAGACCCTGCTGTGACTCTGAGGTTATTTTCAATGGAAACGCGCTAAACTTACACCGTCTCGTTGACAGAGTTCAGTGTAAAAGCCGTGATCTATTTTTCTTTATGTGCATCTTCTGCAGTTCATGAAAGTATGTGGACGTTCAATCGCCACGACTGATAGGAATCCTTTATTCCATCTTCTAGTGTGTATGTCCAAGGCACAGAAATGCTATTGATCTTTGTGTGTCTACCAGATAGCAGGAAACTAAGATCTTTTATGAAATTGGGAGCTTTTCAGGTGAGCCCCTCAGATTTGCCAGGTGTGCACTCATGTATCAAGTGGGAACCAGTCTCTTCAGAGGCGCTGGGTGAGAGGGAGCGGACAACATACTCAGCACAGGCTGGGGGCTCAGAGAACACGGCTCGAAGAGGGCCAGGGTCCTTGGCCTCTCTCCCAGGCCCCTCGTGACTCCCAGAGCAGGAGAGCTACCTCTGCAAGGCTCCACACAGGGGAAGCCCCACAAGAAGAGGTCGCCATCCTCCACTACCCACCAGCTGCCCGGTGTTGATGTCAGAGGGACCTGTCTCTCCTCAGTAGAGCTTCAAAGTTAAGGATGACAATTGTAACCTCCCCTGATGGACAGCGCTCTCCAACCTCTCGTTCTCAGGGTTACCTCACCACGTAGAGAGCGCACCTTCCCGTGTGCCCAGTGGGCACCGTACGGTCTGTGGGCAAAGTGCTCCCCGACCACATTCTCTCACTGGACCATCCCCTCAGCCCTCTGACTCAGGGCCGGATGATTACCCCTAGTTAGAAGTGAGAGGGGCTAAGCAGCCTGCCTAGGGTCACTCAGCAGAGCAGCTCCAAACCTCACCGTCCCCTGCACAGGACAGTGACCTGGGTTAGGTGTGAGGGTAGCCAGGTCCCTGGGACAACCCCTTGGCACCCTCCAGAGCAGGAGGGGTAGGTACAGGGCTCTGGGCATCTCTGCCCCTCCTGTGGGTGTGGCGCACCGCAGAGGGCTCGTGCCCAGCCACTCCCTCCCCAGGCCTGTGGCGTCGCATCACCAGCTAACGGGGGGTGAGGGGTCGCCGCCGGCCCTCGGCCTGTGGCTTACCCTGGCATCACCGAGTACAGAGCTTTCTTCCACTTGTATGCAGAGCTTCTTCGGCTCCGAGTCACTACCACGTGCTCAGGGGATGCACGAACCTGCAGCTGGGGTTTCTTGAAGGTCACCTCAATCCACGAGAAGTGGGCCTTCTCTGTCTCACGGTGGCCAGTCACCTCAATCCCTGAGAGGGCCGGGAGCAGAAAGGTCGAAGCTGTGGTCCCAGCTGGGCACTGGCCTGAACAGGTGGTCCCTCCGGCTACAACCCCCGGAGCCGCTCTTCACCCACTCACCTCCGGTCCCCTTCCCCAGCCTCCCCTCACGCCACGGGCCTGCCTCCCACAGTCTTTCCACTCATCCCTTGGTTCCCTATAGCTTTGGAGGGGCCCCCAAGTCTTGGGTGACAGCCATCTTCAGACGAGCCCTCTGAGGAGGGAGGTCTCGTGTGAAGTCAGTAAACGCGCGTGAAGCCCCTGCAGTACGCCTGACCCTGAGCTGGGCACCGTGGCCAAGAGTGGGAGGGAAAATCAGTGCTCCCTAGCCTCAGGGAGCAAAGAGACTCTGGGCCTGGCGTGATGAAGCGGGAGACAGTGTGTGAGGTCTGGGGGGAGCGAGGGGGCCGTACATGTTCGTTGACCGTGAGTGGCCCTGCAGGTGTGCATTTCAGCATCCCGAGTGCTGTGTGTCTCCACGTCTGACCTGACAGCTCAGCTCCACCCTTCTGGGGACTCGGGGGCAGGTCTGGCCAGCGCACCTACCTCCTCCCCGCATTTGTTTCCTCCACACCCATTCCACACCCACTACACCCACCCCACCAGCTTCCTTCAGGGCTCTGTGCTTCTGCCTACCCCTTCCTCTACCTTGTGGACCCCCATTTCTCTGCCAAGGCCCAGTCACCCCCATATGACCCTGTGCAGCCTCCCCTGACCCTAGGACAGCTCTCATCTCTTCCTCTGGGCTCGTCTCCACGGCGCTCTGGGCACGGATGACAGGCCCCTGTGCTGCTCTGTGCCCAGGCCTGTCTCCCTAACCCTGAAGTATGGCAGTGCCAGTGCCTGGGGGCAAGCCCACATCTGGTCATCCAGGGGTGCAGGCCACTCAGGTCTGCATATGTGGTGCCCAGTGAAAGGTCTGTGGGGAAGACGTATGAGCACAAGGGTCGGTGCTCAGGGGCGTGGCCATGTTACCACCTGGGACGAGGACTGCCCGTGAGTCTCTGTGGGCAGGTTTCCCACCGTTTTTCCGGGGTGGGAAGTTGGGGGTGCATGATGCCCGGGTCTCTCTGGGTGTATGACTGGGTGTGCACCTCTCACCTTGGCCAGGGTCTGAGAGCAGGTTTGTCGGTCCCTGAGAGCGCTTGAGGTCCACACAGAGCCGGTCCACGCTCTGCCCAGGCAGTGGCAGGATGACGGAAGGAGGCTGGATGCGGGCTAGGACAGCAGGTGTGGTTCTGGGGGCAGGTAGAGCAGGCTGGGGGTGAGGACGGTGAGGGGGGATGAGGGGAATTGGCACTTACCGGGGTGTGGGGATGCCGTGGTTGTTTCTGAAAGAAGAAAAAGTCTGGGTTTAGGCAGCCCCTTCCTGGGGAGGGTTGGGTTGAGGAATGGAGTAGCAGATGGGTGTGGCAGGGCTCCCTCTCCATCGAGAAACCCACGCGATAGGTTTGTAGAGCTCCCTGGGCTCTTCCCTCCCAGGGTCTCCCTGCTATAGGGCCAGAATCTATTGCTGCCTGGAGGTACCTTTGATTCTTAAGTCCATGTCATGTTCATCAAGAAATGAGGTAGCTGATAGCCCTGACGCAGGCATTAGCGCAGGAACAGCCAGGAACAGAAAGGGAGAAGGCAGTCAGGATTCAAAGCAATCGGCAAGCCCTCCAGCCATCACTGCCACCTGCCACCCACCAAGCTCCAATCCCACAACCCCTGCCACACCTACACCCAATCTGGACGAGCCTTTGCAAAGAGATTTTTCAACCAGAAGAGCATGCTATTGGGAAAACGCTGAGGAGACAGGGTCCAGCCTGGCCCTGCGGCTGTGTCTGAGTCCAGATTTGGAGATCAGAAACAGCTCAAGGGACTACTCCTGGCTTTGAGAATGGAGGAAACCTTCCCTTTCTAGAACGTTCCATGCTGAGCCAGCCTCCAGAGTGTAATGAATCCAAATCAGTAAAAACAAAGGACACATTATTTAATGTCATACCTTACAGCAACTCTCCCTGGTCTGTGCCTAGCCCTGTGCTTGGTGCTTTATCTCATCCAACTCTATGGGCAGGTTCATCTTGAGGAAACTAGGCCCTCAGAGGGTCAGAAAGCGGCTTACGTGACATCACGTCTGGTGGCGTTGGTCTCCAGGGCGTACGGTGGGGTGGATAAGGAAGAGGAGGAGGATGAAGAGGTCCAGGTGGTCCTAATCTCGTTTGGAAGTTGTACAGTTTATCGAAAACTCCAGTTTTGGAAAAGTTGACACATGCAGTCTTTTCTCAAGCAGTGCCATGGGTCCCCACAGCCAGGGCTCTGGGACCCACCCCAGAAAAGGGACATGGAGAAGGCAAATGGCTCCCCTCCCCACACCTGCCATTCTGGGAGAAATTCAAAGCTGGAACAATGGACCCTTCTTGAACTCCTCCCTGCTGGGATATCGGCCCCCCTTGCCCCACTCTGGCAGTGCCCCTCAAACTACCTTGTCCTCTCCAGCCTCTTCTTTTAGAAAAGACAGGGTCTGCACTGCTGCCTCCTAATCGGACACAACTGGATTTGAGTCCCAGCCCTGCCACCAGCTAGGCGAGACAAGAGTCACTCCCCCCAACAGCCAGGGCAGAGCCCAGTCTGTGGCCAGGGTCAAGGTTCTGTAAACAGCCCCTTCCTCTATCCTCTCCTGTTTTGCTACCTGATACTCTGGACTCTTTGCCTCCCACGGAATGATATCTGAAGAGGGTGTGACCTGGAAATCAGAGAGACCTGGGTTTGCTTCTTGGATGTGCCTTTCTGGGGCCCCCCAGTGGGATGGGGGTGTGTGTCCCTAGTGTCCAGGACAGGGCCTGAGTGGCAACCAATATGAATGAACAGGTAACTAAATGCACCAGCGTGCTTGGGCAGATGACACCCCCTCCTGAGCAGGGCTGGGTTGGAGAGGCCCCAGCTAGCAACCTCATGGTCGCTGTACCATAGGCCCTGTGTCAACCAATGGTCACCCAGGCCAGCCTTAGAGGGTATTAGGCCCTTACCTGAGTGGACGTTCCTGTGTCTGTTTTCTGGTTAAGACAAAAAGAGGGAGAAAGAGAGAGATACACTGTCAGGGTGGTTTTGATAAATTTGAAGTGCTTCTGTTTAACCTTTTGCTTCCCAACCCCAGCACTACACAGGTGCAGTGAACATGCAGGGGTCAGGAGACCTAGCCTCAGTTTCCTCATCAACGAAATAGGGTAAGTCTCCTGGGAGTCCGTGGGTGGCAGGGGTGGCATCTTGGTCGGGATGTGGGGAGGGGCTGGGGAGAATGCTGGGTCAAAACTCTGCTGCCACACCCACCATTTTCCACGGGTTTCTCAGCAACCTGAGACTGCTCTTGACCTTCGGGTTTGGTGATCACCATGGATGTGAGCGGGGTGACAAAACTGTAGCTGAGCGACAAGTTCAGAGCTTGGGCCTCAAGAGCCTGCTTCTCAGCATCTAGCGTGGAGACTCTGCAGGTGGAGGAAACCAGTGGCTCAGCAGGCCCCGGGGTGCCCAGTCAGACTCTCCCTCCCTTCCAGACCCCTCTAGGGAGCTCCCACTGGGAGTCTGGAACTCAGACACGATACCGCCACCCCATCTCCATGCCTAGCGCCAGCTGTGCCTGCCCCACCAGTGAAGAGCCTGGGGAAGTGCTGAAACCGTGTGTGGCCACCCCAGTGGGCCCTGGAGGGTGTGTCCACCCACGTTTGCTCCAGCAGTTGCTGGATGGTCAGGTACGCCCAGAGTCTCTCCATGAAGCTGTGGAAGATGTATCTGGGGCTCCAGAACGCCTCCTCCTGCTCTGCCACGCGGGACTCCGTTACAAAGGTGATGTTCTCCATGTGCTGGAAAGAGGGGCCCAGCCAGGGCAGGAGCAGTGAGGGTGTGACGTCTGCACCTGGCCTGGCGCTGCCCAGCAATGCCACAAGAAATCTGGTGGGGGCAGCGTTGGCTGCAAGGCCACATTTCCTTTGAGTAGAGTGGAGGGTAGGGAGTGTGTTTAGGGGTGTGAGGGGCTCAGCCACAGAGCCTCCAAGGATGACAAGGAGGTGGAGATAAAAGGGAGCAAACTATCCCAGGTGCTACACAGCAGGCGCAGAACCAGGAGCTGCATGAATTTTGCCTTCTCCACACATACAGCTATTTGTTTGATGGTTTTTTTCCAATGAACTTTAAATAGACTAACACTCTTGGTCTTGACCTGAGCAATAATACCTGTGAAATCTTAGGTCTGTGGTTAGAGTTATTTTTCAGAACACATTAAAATAAATATATAACTACTAAAACAAAGACATGTTTGTTTGTAAACTACTCCAAGTCACCTTGGGTTCTGCACTTTGGGAACCCCTGGCCTCCAGCATATCAGCAGCTAACATACATGGAGAGTTTATACCAGGCGAGACCTTAATCCCCACTGCAGCTTTACCAGGTGTGGGAGAGGTGACTTACTTTCATTTGTATACAGCAGGAAACTGAGGCACAGGGAGCTTAAGTGCCTTGCCCCAGGTCTCACCTCTGGGAGATGGCAGAGCTGGAAGTGAAGCCGGGCAGGCTGGCCACAGGGCACGCCCTGCGCATCAGGGCACTTGGCTACCTCTCCTGAGACGAGGCCCTGGGCCCCCCATGCCCGCTTGCCTAGCCCACCTGCTATTCTCCCCACACGTGCTGCCTGCCTGCCACGCAAGCCTGGAACATTCCTCCATCCCTCCACCATCTGGCCTCTGCCACCCTCTACTCACCTCTCAGTCTTAGCTGAGCCTCCTCTGGGAAGCCCTCCCTGATCCCCGAATTTATCCAGCCTGTAGCTCCTTGTTTGTGTGACAATTTACCCATGCTGTCTCTCCCGTGAGGGCAGTATCCCCAGGGCCTAGAGAAGTGCTGTGTTTCTCTTTGTGGAATGAGAGGGCCTCCCATGGCACAGAGGCAGGGAAGGCTGGGCAAGGACAGGACGCCACGTGGTGAGCTGGGTTCTTGACTCGGCTGCAGTGGGGCCCAGGGCAAACCGCCTGCTCTGCCTGGATGTCAGGCTGCTCATCTGTGAAATGGGAGCAGCCCTCCCTGCCTGACTGTAACCTCGGAGGGCTGGTGTGAGGACAGGAGGGGATGCCAAGCACCTGGTGCCCTTGGGAACAGCAGCAGCAGCACTGACTGACCATGGAGTGTCTGCCGCATGCCGGCCCCACACAGGTGCTCTCGGAAAATCACATCATCTCACTGAACCTCTACCAGGAGCCAACACGGTGGGGATGTGTCATCCGCAAGTGGCAGAGGGCACTCTGCAACTTGCTCAAGGTCAACCGGCTGGAGCCTGGCAGGGCTGGGGTTTGAACCCAGCCGCTGACTGCTTGCCCCGGCTGCCCTTCCCCTCCAGGATGGCTGGCCACACCTACCAGCTGCCCCCTGACTTTGGCTGAGAACACATCAGGGCTCTGGTCCCGGAGCTTCCCGGCCACCACCAACTCGGAGCCCTTGAAGAACAGCCGGAAGGCATCCTGTGTGACCGCCTCCACGGTGTTGCTTGGGTACTCGAAGGCCACCGATGTCATCAGTGGGTTGGCCACCTCTTGGTAGAAGTCCTGCAGGGTGGGGGTGTCATGAGGGCCGTGCTGGGGTCTGCCCGCCTGTCAGTGCCATCCCTCGCTCACATGGCCCAGCAGGGGCGCATGGGCACCTGGAGCTGCAGTGCGGAGTCCGAGTCCTCATAGATGCGCCGGGCCAGGCCACCGTTGTCCAGTGCCAGCTTCTCCAGGAAGGCGTAGCTGACGTCAAAGCCGAAGCCCAGGCAGAAGAGGCTGTGCTGGCCATCTATGGCTTCCTGAACGTTCTTCTGGATCTTTGAGGGGTTGGTTTCCCCTGGACCCAGTGGTTTGGGAAAGGGGTGAGAAAACAGTGATTTTCTCAACAGATATTTCTGGAATCTCAGAGCCAGAGGGGCCTCAGAGATCCCCCCTCCCTGCCCCAGGTCCCACAGCAAGCTGGGCCACAGCCCAGCTACTCCCTCTGGGCAGCACGCCCTGGGGCTGCTGGCAGTGCCTCACCCGCCGTGGGGTCGCCGTCGGTGAGGAGGATGATGAGGGTGACGCTTCCTGTGGGCAGCAGCTCCTCCCGGTTGGCTCTCTCTAGCAGCTGCACGGCCATCAGTATCGCATCGTTTATATTGGTCCCTGTGGGGCACACACTCTTAGGGTGGCTCCCAGCAGGGTGCCCCAGGCTGGGCTCAGTGCCCTGGAAGTTGCGACCGTGCAAGGCTGCAGAGGCGCTCACCTCCCTGGGCCTGGATGCCAGTGGTGTAGCTCTTGGCCTCATTCACGTTCTCAGCCGAGGCTGCCACTAGCTGTGGCTTCCACGGGGTTGCTTCCCCACTGAAGCTGATGAGGTTGAACTGGTCACGGGGACCGAGGTCACCCAGGATCTTGATGAGGGCTTCCCGGGTCTGGTCAGGGGAAGGGGACACAAGGCGGGTGTCTCAGTGGGGCCTCCCTGGGGGCTCATGTGCCCTTGGGCTGCACCCCCAGGCTCACATCTGCAGTGAGGACATGGTGAATGCTCTAGCGGCAGGACCTGCCCCAAACTCTGAGCAATCTTGATCCATGGGAGCCCCCTACCTAGGAAGATGGAGGAGGGCAGGTCTGCCTGCTGGACCAGAGCTGATGGTGTGGGACATCTGTGAGTTTTCAGGACCCTGCCTGGCCCATGGGACCCACCTGCTGGACTTTCCTGCCGCTCATGGAGCCGCTCTTGTCAATGACAAAGATCACGTTCTTGGGTATCGTGGCCAGGTGCTCAGGGGCAAAGTAGTGCACAAAGTAGCCGTTCTCGATCTGTGACCAGAGTGAGACACACACAGGCGTTAAGAGCTGCAGCCCTGCCCTGCCCCTAACCAGCCTCCTCATCCCCAGGCCTGGGGTTCCTCTGCTCTCTTCATTCCATCCCCCTCCATCCCTGTCCCACCATTAACCTCCCCAAATCCTTGCCATACTTTAGGGTTTAGACCAGCCCCTCCCTTGCAGAAGGCTTCCCTGCTCAAGCATGGCCCACCAGAACTCTACCCCTACTTTATCTCTTACTTGTTTTAGTATTTGAGGCAGCTTATACTAAAAGGTTCAGACATAATAAACCTGAGATCCATCAAAAAAGTGAAGAATCCAAAAACAAGGTCCATCTATGGCTTCCTGCATGTTCTTCTGGATCCTCGAGGGGTTGGTCTCCCCTGGACCCAGTGGTTTGGGAAAGGGGCGAGAAAATAGTGATTTGTTCAAAAATAAAGGGGAAGCACAATGATGCCAGAAACTTGTGTGAAAGAAGGTACTGTAATTGAGCATAAATGTGAACTGTGAGTCTCCTGGCAGCCAAGGCTACAAGGGAAACCCTGCAGGGCAGTTCTTCAGCAGAGACAAACTTTCTTCCCTCCGAAAAAGAGAATCGTTTCAGGGACGACACAACTAAACTGCCTGTTTGCCGTCTGTGCTGCCCCTGGTGCACACGGGTAACTAGGGTTGGTTATTTTGTCTTTTCTTTTAGAACCCCCAGGCTCAGGTCCTTGAGGGTAGATGGACTTTTTGGTGGCTCAGCTCTTCTCTGAAGCCCACACACCTGAATGGAACCCCCGGAGACAGTCCGGTCCACATCATAGCGGACGATGAAGTTGCCATCCAGGACTGTGTCCTGCTGCTGCTCTGGAGACTTCTGCTGCTGGGACAGCATCGGCTTGAATCGGACATGAGCCTGGAAAAATGACCAGGCTGAAGTTGGGAGGAGAAGCAAGGCCATGCCAACAACACCCCTCACCCCCATCTGAAGAGAGAATTCCAGGAGGCAGCCTTGGGTCAAATTCCAGAGAACTTTCTCTCCAGCTGAGCTATCAGATAGACTGCCTCCATGTAGGGGAGTGGGTACAAGTGAATCCCCTGCTCCTAGATCTGTGCAAGCAGAGGCTGGGCTCAGGATGCGTGCGTCCAGTCAGCTCCTCCTCCCTACCTGGTCCTGGGACCCTGACATCAGTCGTCTCTCCCAATCTCAGGGTTCAAACCAGCTCCCACCATCCTTCCCTAGGCCTTGCCCTCCCCATCTGTCAAATGCCAGCATGGACACAGGAACCTCACAGGTCCCTCTAGCTCAGAGATTCTGCCCAGTGGTCCCACTCTCTGGAAATCCAGGCCCATAGAGCCAGCCTGAAGACAGGCCCCTGGGAGCTCTCACCCGCAGACCATGGCAGGCCCACCTTGGTCTTGTTCTGTGAGGTGGTGAGGGCCTCTGCCAGTTCATTGGTCATGAAGGTGCTCTCTGTCTCCAGAAAGCTGATGCCCTGAGGCTCAAAGATGTAAATGTCCATCTAGAGGCAAGAAGTGGGTTACTGGGTCTGCTGGGGGACAGGGCTGGCCCCCACAGGAGGCAGAAGGGGAAGCAGGGGCCACCCTCAGGAGAGTGAGGTCATCCAGGAGGGCTTCTAAGAGGAGGCGGCACCAGGTACCTGCAGGTGCTTGACCAGCTGCTGGGGCTGGACTTTCAGCAGCAGCTCGTACGCTCCCAGATGCCGCACCAGGAGCTCCTCATACACCAGCTCGAAGGTGACCTTGGCAGCGGGTGCCACACTGACTGACACCTGGAACTGCTCTGTCTTTCTCCCAGTGGCCCTGGGGGAAGAGGGCATCAGGTCTGCCTCTCAGACCAGGGGCGGCTGAAGGCAGGGGCAGCCCCCACCCCCACAGGGTCCTCCCCACCCCATCGGGCTCACTTGACGAGGCCGGCGCTCTCTCCCTTCGCCACAGCCGCGCTGTATTGCTCCTGGGCTGCAGCCTTTTCCTTGATGTTACCCGGGTAGGTCACACCATCAATGATCCTGGGGCAGGAGGGAGGGAGTTTGTGAGAGCCCGGTGGGGGAGGCCCCCTGCAATCCTGCCTCCTCCGGGACTTCACGTGCCTCTTGACAGACTGACTCCCATCTTTACCTGAGCCCACCCGTTTATTATGCACCTACTGTGGACACAACTCTGTGCGGGGCCCAGTGTCGATGGGGGCTCTGCAGGCCTCCATCTACCCTGAGACGTGCACTGTGTCGGCAAACATGCCTTTTACTAAACAACTGGGATGAAGGCTGCAGGGGAGGCAGGTCCCAGCCTCTCTTCTCCCTTCCTGTTGGGCTCCACGTCCCAGCTGCCCCTTCCATCCCACAGACTGTTCTCAGAGGAACTGGTCAGCCACCAGCGAGATCTCTGAGCCACAGTTCACTCAGCCCCGTGGGGCAGACTCAGCAGGAGGGAGATGCCGGCTCCCAGGCCAGTGGAGACACAGGACTGAAGGCTCTGACCCCTCTCCCCCATGGCTGTCCCCTCTTCCAACACTGGACAGGCCACTCTGCAGAGAGGTTGGCCTCTAGGGAAGGAAGTTTTGGACAACTGGTGGACAGGACTCCTTGGGGCATGCAGACAATCCTAGTGGCCGTTTCTGGGGACTGAGAGTGAACTGGCAGGCAAACATAAGCCTGCTCTGTCTGGGGGTGGTGTGAGAGGGTGAGAGTGTACAGGGTGGGAGGGGGGGCAGCCAGGACCTCAGGACCAAGTGTCCTTTCTCCACACCCTTCTGACCTCCCTAGTCAAATTTAACTCTGGGCTAGGGATTGGGGTGCTGCTGGGCTGCAGGGCTCCTCCTCCCAGATGTCCAATTTGGGGTCCCAGGTAGGCTGGGGAGCAGGGCACCTTGCCCCCTGCTTCCCTAACACATGCAGCAACAGGAGCTGGGCCCAGAGAGGGGTGCAAGTCCAGGGCCCTCAGAAGATGCGATGGGCCTGAAACCTCGTAACTTGCCGGCCGTGGCACCCACATGGGAGGCGGGGTGCCGCCTGTGAAGCTTATGCTGCAAGTTGGGCAGCACAGGCCTGGCTCCAGGGTGAGGAAATCAAGGGCTGCTGGAGGCGGTGTGGGCAGAGAGATAAGGAGCCAGCCATAGGGAGCGGACCCCCACTGCACGTTTTCAGGGGTCCCAGGGTGCACTGGGGACTCCACCTGAGATACTCACTCTCTGCCCCACCCATAGCCCTCCCTGAGTTTCTGGGATCAGCCTCTCTCTGGCCTGTCCTCAATCACTGCCTCTCCTGCGGGGCCAGGGACAGAGAGTTCTCTTGCATTTAGTAAACATTGCAAAACTTGGTCGGGAAGGGTGGGGGAGGACAGTAGAGACAAGGTAAGGATCATCACCTGCTTACAGAGTCCACAGAAACCCCAGGGGCCTCCCAATGCAGCTTCTGACCCAGAGCAGAACCACCCTCTGTAGTATCCCAGCTGGAGGTGTGGGGGGATGAGCCTGGCTTAGAACTTCTGTGACAAGGAGGTGGTCCGCCTCCTTGAGGCACTGCTTCATTGTGGGGCAGCCCGGGGGGTTAGGAAGTTTTCTGTATTCTGAGCTGGAATCTGCCTTTTGGTGACTCCCTTCTGCCTGGGCTTGGCCTCAGGACTTAGGATGCCCTAAGTCTGTACTTCTCAAAGGCAAAGACACAAAGATACCGTGGTTCTCCATCTGCCACCTGGGCAGCACTCAGGGAAAATGGATGAACAGATGGAGAGACGGATGGTGGGAGGGACCAACGGAGGGAGGGATGAAGGCACAGCAGGATGGATGGAGGGAGGGAGGAAGGGATACAGGGAGGGAAGGAGAGAGGGAGGGAGGGAGCAAGGGAGAACCGGAAGGAGGAAGGGATAAAAGGATGGAGGGAGGGAAACGTCTCTGAGAATGCATGAAGTTCCTGGCTAAAGCCTCTGGTCCCTGTATTGCCTACAGGTGGAGCACACACACCTCAGGCATATATCCTGGCACATCTCACATCAGGAAGATGCCCTCTCTTCCGGATCTGGCACAGGGACCATGGTGTCACAGTGCTGGACTGGGGAGGGGGGACGAGGAGGGGAGCAGGAGGGCACCTACATGGAGAAGTTGGTGATAAAGGCTTTCTTGGGCAGCTCCATCTGGAAGGTGACCTCCTGCAAAGTACTGGCCTTGTTGACCGCCCGGCTGGTGACGACTGTGTGGGCAAATCGGGATGAGACCCTGGAGTCTACAGTGAGGCTGTAGATGTCGATGTCATTCTGGACCAGTGGAGGAGGAAAGGAAAGGGTAGGACTGTTCAGTGTTCTTCGAGAGAGTGGGCCTTGACCTTGGTCCCAGACTGAGCCCTGGCCCCCAACCCCAAGCGAGACACTGATCAAGCCTCAGGCAAAATTCCATCAAGCATTTCATTTGTGAACTTTCATCTCAGATCAGAGGAAGCTGTGTGCTTCATTCCCCATCCTACAGTGCCACGGGGCAGGGATCAGTCTGTCTTGTTCAGTGGGGGCCACAGCGCCCCTCAGAGAACAAGCAGGCAAGGGGTGGGGGGTGGAGCCTGAGCCCCACTGTGTCTGGGAGGAACTTACTTATCCTTGGGGCAGAGGTGAGTGGCAGAGGGTCCTGTTGGGTCAGGAAGCTTCCATGCCATCTTAGCTCTGCCCAGTGAAAGGGCAGAGAGCAAGTCCTGTGGCGGGGGAAAAGAGCCCCTGCCAGCCTCCCCCCAGGGGCCTGCAGGAGCTGGGGGAACTGGAGGGTCCATCCCTAAGGCTGCACATCTTCTGCTGTGCCCCCTTTTCCCTGCAGCATTGGGCCTCTCCTGCTGCCCTGTCCACAGGACACTCCCCCAGGCATGCGTTTCGCTCGAGGTCTGCGGCCTCCAAGGAAGGGCATGTGCAAACAGGCAGAGCCTACACATCTCTCGCCCGCCTGCCACGTGGCACACTTGTGCTTAGCACAGAGGTGCGCGGCGGGCCGTGTGGCTTGTTTACACGTGAGTGTCTGCTCCATGCCAGACACTGTACTCAGCATTTTACAACACTATATGTTTCCTTTTCACCACAAACTTCTAAATAGTTCTATTACTACCTTGTTCTACAGATGAGGAAAAAGAGCCTTGGGAGGCATCAATGACTTCCGAGAGGTCACGCAGCCAGGAGGCGTAAGCTGGGCCCCTGAGGCCCATTCTTACCCGCCCCACCCACTGCCGCCCTCCAGGGCAACTTGTTAGGCTGCACTTCCTCCCCGTGAACTGGGAATACCAGGATCACCCCTCCTTGTAAATGGGGGACTCTCCATAGAGCCCTCAGGGTAGCGCCTGGTGGATGGGCAGCACGACTTCTCTGCACACACACTGACCCGTGCTCACTTGCACACACCGAGGCGCTCCTCCCCTTCACCCACTTGTCCCACTCACGCTCAAGTGCACACATACAGGAACCCGTGGACACCTGCTACCTTTTGGGCCCTGAGGGTCTGGAGGGTGGCCAGCGAGAGCAGGACCAGCACGATGCCGCAGGCGCGGCCAGGGGCTGGGGTCTTCATTTTGGCTCTGGTGCCTGGCAGGCTGCTTCTGAACTTGAGAGGAAGAGCGCAATGAATTTGTAACTTGCTCACTGCCCCGCCCCTGTGGGGGCAGGTTCTGGGAAATTGGGATCTGCAAGCCAAACACTGCAGTGGCCTCAGATAAGCAGACAAACTGCGAATGTCCTGTGGACCTTGGCTGGAGACGGGAACATGTACTGAGCAGGAGCAGGCTCAGGTGGGAGTTAGGTGCTGGCGCCCCTTCTGAATGGTCCAGAATCTGACCAAACCACCACCACCCCTCGCACCACTCATCTCGCCGACAGGCTCCCTAGGACTGGAGGACATAGCAGTGAAATGGCCTGCTCTCCATAAGCCCAGCCTGGGAGAAGCACAGGCGTGGTTGGGAAGAGGAGGGCCAGAGGGTGGTCTGCAGGAGGTAGGGGCCTGGAAGTCAGGTCAGTGTGACTGGGCAGTGTGACCCCAAATGCACCAAGCAGCCCTTGGGGTGCCTGAGTGGGGCAAGATCTGCTGGGGCCAAGGCAGGATGGATACACCTTATTTCTGGGATGAGAGAGGCTAGGTCAAGGAGCCCCCCTTCTCTCTGCTGGGGCCTCAGGATGCTGTTTGGGCCCCATTATTCTAGCCAGGACTCTTGGTGCAACTCCAGCAAGGCCTCTGAAACAAGATCTGCACTTGGCAATACAAACCGAGGGCCAGAAAGATGCCCACACGTTGTGGCCCAGAAGTCCCGCTCTGGGGAATCTCCTGAGAGAGAAGCATGGAACTGAGAAAGCACAGAGCTCCTGAAGGGGACGATTCGGGGCGGTGGCGTGTATGTTCAGGTGGCCTACATGGAGGTCAGCCGTGTCAAGGGAGCCCGTGAGTCACGCCTGGAGCGAGAAAGGGCAGAACGCTGATCTGTCAGCACGCCAAGGCAGTGCCGTTCTCATGGGCTCACACCACAGGAGGGTGGCTGGAGGGCCTGGGGTAGGATTACAGATGATTTTTTTTCAATTTTCCTTTAATAAAGTTGAAAGACTGCTTTCATAACAAGTAGCAATAAAGCGAATAAATACTAGGGGATCTGGATGCAGCTGGTGCTTATGTCCCTGTGGCTCTGGGAAAGCTTGGCTCCTGAGTCTGGGGCCACAGATGGGATAAAGATGCTTCAGAAAAGTGGCCAGGTGCCAGATCCTTGGCTGGGGAAGGAGGACTCAGTGACACTATCCCAGGGGTGGGAACTGGGGAAGGGTACCATCGTCAGGGCCTACTTGGGACCCTGGGGCAGTGACAGGCTTGCAAGGGCCAGGAAGGGGGCTCCTCCATTAGCCCTGCCTCGGTCAACGCCAGTAGCATCTGCCCCAAGGGAAGGGAGCTGGGTCTGTGGCTACAAGTAAATATTCCCCTTCCTTAGCATGACTTAGCCAGAAGCCTCACCTCTGAGCGCATCTACACAGCTCTCCCTTTGACTATGGATGTGATTGGGATTACTCGGGAAGACATACGCGTTCAGCAATCTGGGGAAAAAGCCTCCCCAGGAGCCCAGTGAGCAGGCCCAGGCCTGGTCACCACAGAAGGTCTGCTCCCTTGGGGCACAGAGCATGGACCCAGCCTGGAAACAGCTATATAAGGAGGCCAGGCTGGCCAGGAATGTGGGAAAGGCTCTGTGCAGCCCGCTCCACCTGCCCAGGGGACAGGCGGGACTTCCCTGTAGGCACTGGCCCTGAGCCAGGCACTGTAAGCCCAGACCCTGCCAGTCCATCTCCGGACTGTCTGTGGTCTTGCTGTCACAGCTGGACAGGCCTCTGCAGTCCCCTGAGTCTGACAGGTCCACGCGCACAGAGACACTGAGGCCTGAAGCGGGAAGAATCGCACATGAGCCGAGAACCTGGTGTTCCATGCCTCAGGCAGAGCTGTGGGAGTGGCAAGGGGGAGGCTTACCCTGTTTGGGAGAGGGGACAGTAGCTCAGGAAGCAGACTGCCACTGGCCAGAGAGGAGCCTCCACCTGGCTTTGTCTTTGAGGGGATGCGAGCTGGCAGGGAGGCAATATGAACAAGGCCGGGGGCGGGCTTTGAGGATCCTGAGTCCCTCAGAGCCTTGGGGTCCTTGGAGGCATCTCGATGGCTTCTGTGAAAACCAAGGGAAGGGTGAGCCCCAGGCCCCCACCTGCTTCACTCTGAGCAGTGTGACTATGGCCTGTTTTGCGCAATAGGCTCCCTTTGCCTCATACAAGGGGAAACAGGCTCAGAAACGGAGGAGAGACAGTCTGAAGTCACACAGATCAGAGCCAGGTCTCCACACCCAAGGTTCTTTCTAGTACGTGGCAATGGCCATAATGGCACCTGCATTATCCTCTGGGGCCGCCCCAAAAGCTGAGAAGCGTACAGAACATGCCCCACACCTACGTTGTCCACCCCTCCCCTGCATTTAGTGGCCATGGCCAGTGACCAACCAACACCCTCCAAATGCTGGGGCCACTTGGGCATCCTCTTTATTGGTGCTGCCCAGGTGCTGGTGCAGAGACCCTGGGGTCAGGGGCCAGGGCTGTTGGGGAGGGTGCCAATCCCAGAGGCCGTGGGTGAGAAGCTATGTTCTGGCATAAAAAAAGAGTTCTTGGGAAAGGCTCCTGTGTCTAGGTGTTGCTGACGGCGAGGGGCGTGGTGCGCACTTCTCAGCCAAAGACACTCTTGGCGGGTCCGTCTTTGGGCTTCTCAAAAACAGTCTCGGTGCCAGTCCGGGCGAGGCTGAACACCGATGGGGCGGCAGAACCAGCTTGCTCTGTGGGGAGGATGGGGAAGAGGTGTAGTCAGGGGCACGGCCTGGCTTCCTAGGGAGGAAAGGCCCCTTTTGTGGGGAGCGCCCTGCTGAGCTCACAGGCTCTGAACTCTTAGAAAAAGGACCCATGGGACCTCCCCCCAACCCCATCCTCCCTCCTACTGACACACATCTGCGCCCCTGGAGCCCATCGTCCCAAGAACACTCACCACACTCCTGCATGACCTGGTAGGTCTTGGACTTGATCTCCTGGTTCTTGGTCAGCTTCCCTCGGGCCCCCTTCAGGTCCTCCTCCTTCACAGGGGGGCGCTTCTTCTTGATGGGGGCTTCCTGAGTGCCAGCCTTGGAGAGCCCAGAGCCTCATCTTACAACCTGAGGCCTCGAGGCTGAGAGCCCTTTCCCAGCACTGTGCCTTGGCCAAGACCCCTCTTCCCTGCTCACTTAACTCAAGCCAATTCAAGGCCTCACTCCTCCTCCAGGAAGCCTTTCTGACCCCGAGTCTCTGCCCTTTTTCCACAAACTGGGAGCTCTGGGGCCATGGCTGTTGTAGCCTCACACCATCTGTGTGCCTGTCCTCCCTGAGCCCCGGTCTTCCAGGGGAGGCAGAGCCTCCTGTGTTTATGCCCAGAGCTCAGCTCAAGACACAGCTGCTAAAGATGATAGCATCCATCCTCCACCCCCACCCCCTGGCATGAGCAGGGCCTGTGCTGGGCCCTCCTACCTGGGACATGGTGGGTATGGGGAACTGCTCCCTGGAAGGCAGTGGCTGTGAAAGAGATCTGAGTGGCGCCCAGCCCTCTGGGCCTTATATAGTTGGCTTGCCTGTCCCGGGAAGTCACTCCCCCTCCTCTGACAGCTCCCTGATGATTCAGATCCACACAGCCGCTGGCTTCACAGTTTATTCTTGGAGATGATGGGGGCTCGCTGAGCACTGCTGCCTGGGGGGCTGCAGTCCTGGTGAAAGAAGACAGCTGGGGAGACCCCGTACCCTTGAGGACAGCTGCTCTCTGGCAGGTGGGAGGTGCTGGGCCTGGCAGAGACTCGCGTTTATGAACGTAGGTCCTGTAACGTGCGTGTGGCACTCCGAGCTGCCCATCTGCGATAGTCCATCCCAGCATGGGGGGTGTCCCGGAGGAAAGAGAGGGCCCTGAGCCAGGGTGGACAGCTCTGAGCTTGTTTTTCTCTCTCTTCTACCCCTTCCCTGGATTCCAGAGGAAAGAGACTTCCCAGACTCACATGGCAGCAGGGAAGAGGGCTTCCTGCATCTGCCGCTGGGGAGCATGTGCTCACACCCAGCTCGCTGGGCTCTCACAGTGGACTCAGAGCATGGGGGCTACCCCTGGCTCACAGGTACAGAAGGCTGCTGCCAAGGGAAGCCTGGGAGCTGCTCCATCTGCATTTTTGCTGATGCCCCTGCCCTCTGTCCAGCTCCCAGTGCAAGTTTAGCAACAGGATGAAGGAGGGAGCAAAGCCCCCAGGAAGGGCCGGGAGGAAACCATGCTTTGTGGTAAGGGTACCGGTGAGCTGAAGGCAGGAAACAGCACAGAGCCTCTGCCTGAGACGAGGTCACCGAAGGGCACCTGGCCCAAGGACATTTAGGGTGTGAGAGGGTGGGCAAGAGTGAAGCCCACTCAAGGCATGGACAGAGGCACAGACTCCCTGAAGGTCACTTAGCTCTTCTCTGCTAGTTCCTAACACCCCATCCTTGAAGGGAAGACCCCCGGGGCACAGGGAAGGACTCCAAGCCTGAGGTGAGGGTAGGAGTGGATGTGGGTAGGAGGTCAGGGTCCGCCTCATTGGATGAGACATGCCCAAGCTCCTTGTCAGTTTGTGATGGAGAGTATTTTTATCCTTGAAGGCTCCAGGCAGACAAAACCCAACCAGGCACTGATGTCTGGCTGTCTGAAACACCGCTCTGCTGCTGTCAGACCTCATCCCACCCCAATACCCCCTGCCTGGTCCTGGCCCCAGGAGGCCAATGCGAGCCCTGCCAGGCTCCAGCTGAGACGAGTGCTGACATGAGGAATGCCTCTGGACGGGCACAGACCCAGGGCTCCAAACAGGGGCCAAAAGGCACTGAGGGCAGCCCTGGCCTGTGAGGGCACTGCTGCTGGCTCCCAGCACTTCAGCTCGGCCCCCACAGCCAGCTCTGCCCAGGGTGGGCACCTGCCTTCCAGCCCTGTGGCCTCAGGAACAAGGATGTGGGATGTTCACGCCTCACACTCCATCTCTCCGGCACCCTTCGCTCCTCAGGGGGGCGGGGGGCAGGCAGAGTAGCTTTTACTCGCATTAACAGGGAAGTGGAAATGGCAAGAGTATGTTTGTTTTTTTCCCCTTGGCAGGTTTTGGCTCCCACATCTGCCATAAGGAGATGTCAGATTCATTCTCACTCTATTTTCTGGGGAGAACCTTCTAACTCACCGGGGACGTTTTCTTGACCCCCACTAAGCTGTTTCAACTTCACAGAACATACAACCAACAACCACAAAAGTGATGGTTTCTTTTTTAAAAAAAACTGTAATAAGATGTCAAACTTTATTGTAAACCACTTTACAATGTTAAGTACATCGTCTTCCCTTTCATTTCAAAAATGTGTTTCTGTGAATCGTAACACCACAGATTTAACCACCCGCGCTGGGAGGGCAGTGGAAGTCGGTCATGGTTTGCTCACGTAGGTCTGACTTCTAATAAACTTCACGAAAAGAGAAATCAAATTAAACCAACCCACCCACCCACTCAGGAGCTCAAGGTCCCTCCCCAAGAGCAAAGCCCTTCAGAGCTGCCAATGTTTCACAGGGTAAAACACAGAGCTCTCCACTCCTAGTTGGAAATGTTTGAAACTTCTAAAGGCCAGCCCCGCCCCCTACAAGGTGGCTGCTCTGGCTGACGGCAAGTTCCCAGAGCCTTCTGCATTTGCTTGGCTGCAAAAAGGCCAGTGAATTGCAGTCTGGAGGGCAGAGTGAGCTGCTGACAGCTGCTGCTCCTTCCAGGCTCCTGGGGCAGCCTTCAGACGGGGACTCTGGGCTACAGCCTCCAGGCCCACACTGAAGAGGGGAAGAAACAACCTGAATTTGAGCCTTTATATATATTTCCCCTTTAAAGGCATGACAGGTCAACCTAACCCATGACTCCTTGTTGTCAGGAAGAGGCACAGGTTAAAGCTTGAGGCAGGAGGCCACCAGTGTGCCCGAAGGCGGGCCTTCACGTGAGAGGGCTTTGGGCTGAGCAGACCAAGAAGCCACTGCCTGGGATCTCACCAACATCCCTCCTTGCCATTGTCAACAACCCACTGTCAGCGAAAGGGAAAATGGGCAACAACGATCTCTTCCATTCGGATATGACAGCTGTACCTCATCGGGTTATTTCTATCAGTTACAAGAAACTTGTTCATGGCCTTGACTTACAAGTTTCCATTAAGGGTGGCTTGGCTGAGGTCCAGATTTGGACAAATCAGACGGATGGCGCACAATACACAGTTGGTGTTCCGTGGTTTCTCAAGCACAATGATGCTTGCCATGTGGCAGGTGAAGAGCTGCACCTCATAAGGCACCTTGGAGCAGGTGGTGAGGAAGCTTATCCTAGGGATAAGGCCAAACACATCAGGCCAGGCCGTTTAGGCCCGCACGCTGACAAGGCCCTGTACGATCAGACTCCCTGTTGGACGTCCATGTCCTAGTTAGCCAGCTATACAACTGAGGCTCAGAGACTAAAGCCCTTTCAAAATCAGGATACAGGGAGAAACCACTGCTCGCTCGCTACCTCTTTGTCCCCCAAACCCACTGCCCAGCAGGCGCTGGGATGAGCCTTGAGATGAGCAGATCGTCTGGGGTCTGTATAACCCATAGTTTCCATCCTTCACACCTGTGGCTTCCCCACCCTCGTCCCTGGTTTGGAAACACGAGGAGCTCAAGAGTGAAAGTGAAGCTCAGATTCTGGGCTCAGGGAGGTGCAGAAAACAGCTGTGGCCACAGGTTATTCAAACCAAGACAAAACAGGAGGACAGAGTAAGGCAAGTCAGCGATGCCTGCCACCTACCAGGACCGACGACGTCAGCCCTGGTCTTCCCAGTGGGGAGCCCCCCACTAAGACAGCGGAGGGTGGGAAGGGGGAGGAGCACAAAATGAGAGCAAAGCTAAGGGAGGGTGGATGGAGATGGGCTCCGATCTCACCCTGCTCTCCTCTCCAGCTGCAGGTGCCCAGCGTAACAGAGTCGCCGCCCACTGCAATTCAGGTCCCAGCTCCTCTGGCCCTCCGGACTCCTACAGGACGACAGGCTGAGAAGGCCTCCGCAAGGCTCGTCCCTCCATGACCCACGCAGGTGAGACCGTGGGAGGCAGAGGACAGGCTCAGGATGCCTGGTTTAACAGCGTGGCTCACATGCCACAATTCAGACCCAATCTGTTTGAGTGACATGTTTTTATGTAGGTTTTTAGGTAGGAACCTAAAAAGAAGGTTCTGGGTGGTGTGGCCTCCCTGCACTGATCTCACTTCCAGCTCGCACCTTAGCCACGCGGTTCTCTATTCCTAAACTTCCATGACTGCCTCTGGGCTGGGACAAAACACTGGGCTGCTGCTCCCACAGCAGGGCAAGTGCCTGGGTCAGCCCATTCCACTGCTGGGCAGCAGACTCCCAAAGCCACGGGGCCTGTGCCCATGCTGGGGAGTGGGGGCTACAAGCTTTGAAGCACCTCGTCCTGCCTGTGGACGCAGAGAGCAAGCTCGCTCACCTCCACCCGCTGCTCTGGAGGATGTGAAAAACAGGATCACTTGGTCAGACAGGCGTTCTCTAAAAGACGAGTCGACAACACTAAGCTGACAGGCAAGGCGTAGCCTGAGAGGAAGTTCCCAGAGCTGGGTCCAGAGGCTGGTTCTGAAGGCTGCACCATGGGAGGCGGGGAGGCCAAGACTGTGTTTTAAACTTCAGATCTGGAGGCTCTGAAGAGAGGCAGGGAACAAACAGGAGTGGCCTCGGAGTCTCAGTTTCTCTGGACACAAAATCCTCTTACGCTCCTTTTTCCAGCATGTTTCAGTAAGACCTCTAACCTGCCGGCAGAAGTGCCAAGGAGCTGGTGGGCCCTGGGCAGAGCCCTTCCTATTCCACCCTCACAGGGCCCTGGATCCACATTTGGACTGGCCACCTCCTGCTCAGGCCTGATCTTTGCAGAACCACTGGGTTTGTTGATTTCAGATGAGGGCCCACCTCCCTTCCTACCGGAATCATTTACCTCATCTGATCGTAGATTACCTAACAATATTCCAAATAAAAAATTCCCGACTTTTCCCACCCACCAGTTCACAACCCACGAAAGGCAAACAAACCCATTTCTCTGGGGATTAAAAAGAGTTTTTAAATACAATAGTATGAAAATATAACTTAAAAATATAAAAGTTAACAGTATACGGAAGACTTAAAAATCTATGTTTTGCCCATGAGTCCCATAGGAAATAAACATATACTCAAAAAACATTAACACTGTGACAGCTCATAAAACCAGCTATAGAAATCAATAGTTACAAAAGCCATTTCGAGTAGGAAAGCGTTGCGGTTCCAACCTGGTCAATGTGTAACTTTTAGCCCCCAAACGTGTTACGTCTTCACATTCCCCCAAGCCTTGGCGAAAGGCTCCACCCACGGTCTGTGTGCACGTGAGTTCTCATCCTCGAGGCCACCCGGCCAGACGCAGGACAGGGCTTCTGGGTCCCTCACAACACCGCTTGGGACGACAACACACAAACAAAACACCTCGCTTGCATATTTGGTCAGTGTTTGTAGTGCAACTGAGTGGGGACCTCCAGCTGCCACGCCGGGCCAGCGGCCTCCCTCCCTCGGGTCACAGTAGTCTAGGAGTGGGCAGAGACCGTGGGAGGAGTGGAGGTAGAAGAGGGGCAGAGAGAGGAGGGGAGGGAAGACGCAGCGGAGCGACCCTCGGCCAACCGGCGGCTGGCTGGGCCCCGACCCGACCCCAGCTCGAGGATGCGTCATACAGGCAGCCCGAAGCGGTGCTTCTTTTTCTTCGCGGGCTTCAGGGGGGTCAGTCTCCGGAGGTCCTCCTCCACATCGGACTCCTCCATCTCGTCATCAGCCGAGATCAGGATCTGAGTGGTGGAGAGGCGTGGCCCTGAGTCACTGCCTGCAGTGCCCTCTTCACCTACCCACCCTGGACCCCAGCACAGAATGCCAGCCTGTCTAGGAGGCCTCAAGTGTCGGGTTTCTTTAGGAGAGGGTGATGGGGAGGCCCTCTTTACAGAGTGAGACAAGCTGGCCCACCCCAGACTTTGTTTTATACCACGTGCATCCACGGGCTACTGATACCAGTGCTGAGTCGATACGCCTCCCCTCTGCTCCCGCTTCTCCATCCAACCTCCGGCTGTGACCGAACTCCCGTCAGAGCAAACTTAGCCTACGGTCATCCAGGCAAAAAAGCCCAGTCTTCACACATGGAGTTCTAGGTCCTTGAAATTGGTTCAAACACAGCAAAAGCAGACTGAAAAGCCCCGTTCTGAAAGGAAAACACCTGTGGGGCACAACATAAAGCAGGGAGATTTCAGAGTGTCTGCTCTGAGCCAACCTGGTAAACTTCTGAAGACAAACAGAAGGCCTCCACTATTCTGAGCCCCCAGAACGATGCAGCCACGCAGCTAGGGCATCCAGGGCAGACACTCATTCACTGCCCACCTGCCTGGCTCCACAGACCTCAGAGCACCAGGGAAGGACTGGCACAGCCCAGGTCAGGATGGAGAGGCCCGAAGTGCACCTATGCAAGGGGAGCTCATTCTCCTCCCGGGCAGGGCGGTCTCACCACCCCTCCCCTGCAGGGCTTCCTGCCTCCAGTCTTGGTCCCCTGATCGAACACTCTGGCTCCCTACCTGCCGCACAAGCACATTCCCATTCCTCACCCTGGATCACAAAGCACCTTGCCCAGCTAGCTCAAACCTCTGCCTGTACCTACTTCTTGTCATTCCATCCTACCCTCCGGAATATATGCTACTCTGGCCACAGTGAATTTCACATTAGTACCCAAATGCCAAACCATATGACCACAACTGCTCAGGAGCAGCTGCTTCTGCCTGAAACACTGTTTGTCATTCACCTAATGTTCACTGCGCTCTTACAACCCGACAGGCCTCGTGCCAGATTCTAGGGACACCGAGAGAAGAGACGGGCTTCCCCTCTGTCTTCCATCTAGTCAGCTTTCAAAGCTCCCTCCAGGACACCCCCAAAAGCTAAACCAACTGTTCCAGGTCCTCACAGGGCTTTGTCAACACCTCAATCTCAGAACTTATCGCAGAGTGCCACGATGGGCTGTGCAGGCTGTCACCTTCCTTGTCCACAAGTCTGAAGGCCTCAGCCATTTCTGTAGCCCCCATCCCACAGCGCAGCGCAGGTGCAAAGTGAGTGCTGTGGGCTGCCTAGGACACACAACCTTGCCTCCAGGCTCCTATTTATGACCACCAATCTCCCTGAAGTCCAAATATTTGAACTCAGGAAACTTGAAAATACGGGGAGGTAAGGTTCTCCCTGGGAGGTCTGGCTACTCCTACAGAAGTTTCTTGGTGGCTTAGCCAACACTTCCCTTGCTCTTTGGCGACAGGCAGGGATTCAAACGCCTTGATGCTTAAAGGTCGACGACCAGGCCCACACGTCCTTGACAGCTTCCCGGAAACAAGGCAGCTCCTCCCTTTCCTGTCTTTCTCCACTGACAGAGGGGCTACTGGAAGCGAGTCACCCCCGACAGATGCTCCAGCTCCCAGCCCTAGGAAGGCCCACGGGACAGCAGGAATGGGGTCCGGGCGGGGG